TTTTTTTTAGGTTTTTCTCCGGTACCGGGAACCGAACTCACGACCTTGCGCTTACCAGGCAGGCGCTTTTGCCGCTGAGCTAAATCCCCAGCCCCGCACAGCGAGGTTTGAAAGCCTCCACCTAACCAGGGTTCCCAGACTCAGTTGTTCACAGGTGCTGGATAGGTAATATACGTAACTGAAAAAACCTAAGCGTGCGTGTATCGGTCAGCCACTGCTGATAACAAGCCACCCCAGACTCCCCTTCTGCAGCTCCAGGTCAGACACAGCCAGTCTTGCCGCTGACAGTGGGTGGGCCAGCTGCAGTGGGCTCCACTGGGAGGCCACCACACAGATGGCTGGCACCTGAGGGGTCAGCATCGACTAGCTATGGGCTAGCCCCAGCTTGTTCTCAAGGTGGCCAAACAGGACTTCAAGAAACGAGCAGACCTGCATAGGTTCAGAGCTGAAGTGCCACCTCTTCACCATCCTGTGAGCCAAAGTGGGAGGGAGGGCCTGGACAGGAGCCAGCTGTGGGGATCGCCTCCCACTGCCGGTGGAAGCAGCTGCAGTTGCACCACGAAGGCTGTGGGATGCTGACCGCGGCACTGTGCTGTCCCAGCCTCCTCTGTCTTCACACTATGCTCTCTGCGTGTGTCTGTCTGCATCCTCTTCTCATGCAGACAACAGTCGTCAGGTTGAAGGCACATCCCAAATGCAGGGTGAGTTCCTCTCCAGACCCTTGACTAATCACATCTGCCAAGACAGTTTCCAAACAAGGCTGCGTTCTGAGGTTCAGGACAATGTGATATCTGGGATGACACTACTCACCTCCTATAAACACAGGTTTAACCAGAAACAGGAGCTTATTTTGCTCCAGTTGTAACAAATCCAGAGACAGAGCACTGCCAGCATGATGATTCACTCCAGGATATCCAGGCTGAGCCGTACGGAACCCCCTGGTGTCAGCCCTGTGTCCACACTCAAGGCAGAAGAGGCAGGAGGAGCAGTGTCTGCTCTGGATGACCCTTTTCAGCAGAGAAGCAAGAATTTTCCAGGAAGCTCCCACACTAGTTTTCTCCTTACATCTTGTTGAGTAGAACTTATTCTGAGGCCACCCCTAACTGCAAAGGAAGGCTGGGAACTTGAGAGGGAAGCCAGTCAGGGGCCGTTGTTGCCCTGAGCATGGGCATATGGTCATGCTGAAAATCTGGGGTCTACCAGCAAAGAAGAAACCAGGGGTGTGTGTCACTAGGCCCATGGCCTGCCACACCAGTCTTCTCTAAATTTGGTGAATGTGCGTCTTTCTGGAGTCTGTTCTGCCAAGTCTAGACTTCTGGTCAACCTTGCACAGTGTGATCTCCACTAGGATAATACGGCCCTCTGATTTCTTGTCAAGCTAGGGATTCACAATAGGGGATGACTGTGCTGCATTAGTTGGGGTTCTCTAGAAGAACGGAATTGATGGAAAGTATGTGTAAAATTGCACAAGAATTTATTAGATAGGATTGTAGGCTCAGAAGCCAAACAATCCACAGTGTCCATCTGTGCACTGGAGAGATAGAAGAACCAGTGGTGCTCAGTCCAAGAAGACGGAAGCTACAGAACAAGGGGAACCAAGCATGCAGCACGGGTCCAAGGTCAAAGGCCTGAAACTCACTGTTGAGTTGCCAGTGTGAGTCTGCATTGTTAGGCTGAAGAGACTGGAGACCAGTGTCCAAAGGTTACGCGAAGACTGTAGCTCTCCAAAATGGGACACTTCCCTTTTCTCTCCCTTTTCATGCCATCCAAGCTACAAGTCTATTGGTCAGAGCACCCACATCTAGGGTGGGCCTTTCACCCGTATGCTGGCCTGTATGTCAGTCATCCAGAACTGTGCTGCGCTAAACTGTTAGGTGGTTCCTAACTCATTCGAGCTGACATACCATGATCAACAGTCATACATGTCTTCATGAGGATGCTTGACATGTCTGGAGACATTTTTCATCACCAGGGCTGGGGATTATTGTGTCTTTTTCCTGTGTCAGGTGCAAAAATAGTGACCAACACAGTGTCACTATAGAAAACACAGAGACACGTGCAGGGGCACCTGGGAAGAGACCCAGCAGGTGCTGTAGCACTGATCACGGAAGAGGCAGAGAATTCACCTAAGAGGAACAGTATTCCAAGCAGAGGCCCAGCGAGACAAGAGAGAACATAAATGCCCAGGGTTCTCGGTAGCTAGAACCCATGTGAGGCAGCAGAAATCTAACCAAGTGGGGGACATTAGACATGGAAAGACTAGGTGTCATGTTACAGCACTTTGGTGGCTCCATTTAAAAATTTACACCAGGGGGTTTGACTTTAGAAGCTGTAGTGGTTAGAGCAGAATGTCTACTTGATTGGCCCTGGGACCCTCCTAGAGCAGGAATGACAAACCTTTTAGAGTTTTCAATGATAACAATGCCCGACTGCGGCACACGTGCCACCACTAGAGAGGACTGGTAGAGCGCCCTTCAGGCTGTGCCTAGGTAGGTCAAGGAGATGAGGCTTTCAGATTTACATCCGGTCTCTGTCTCTTCCTCTCTGCACTGCTCCTGTGCCATGCTCACCAGCCACCGTACACAGAGGTACTTTGCTCTACCATGTTCCGCTGCCGTATGTTTCTGCCTTGGGGCCAGCTAATGGACTAAATCCCTGGACACCATGAACCTAGTGAAAGTCCTCTCACTTGCGGGTGTGGGGTGTATGTCCAGCCATGGGAAAGCTGACGGATACAGAAGCCCACTCTGCCTTAAGAGCTGGACTTGAGAGGGACGAGGAGGAAGTGCAGACAGAGGCTGGGGGACACGGCCTCTTGACAGAAGCAGAAAATCAGGAGCAGGCACAGCATTTTTAATAAAAAATAAATAAAAGTAGATCCTTGAGAAGCTCAATTAGGATCACTAGCTGCCACCGCTGTAAGAAACGCTCTCAAACCAGAGTGGTGTGACACCTTGAGAGTTTATTTCTTATCCACAGCCCAGGCCAGAGTGGGTCCATGACGGGCCTGGGGAGGGAAGGAGTCCCACCACGTCCTGGGGCCCGGGAGATCCCTGCTAGTGCTCTGCAGAGGCCAGCGGAGGAGAAAGAAGCAGGGCGGGGGCCCTGTGGGAGGCTTGGGGCCAGGTCTGGGATGGCCAGCACATCACTGGCACCCAGAGTGCAGCCGTGAGGCCCCACCTTCCTGAGGGAGGCAGGCAAACACAGTCCAGCTGAGAGCCCAGACAAACAGGAACTGGGTCTGGCTAACACCGAGCCCTTTCTCTGCCACAAACTCTTCAGGAGGTAAAATTATTGGCGCTCTGTAATTGATTCAACATGAAGGAGGAAAAGAGGGATGACAGCTCCGGGTTCCCACCCAGGAGGCTTGGGCAGGACGGCTGAGAGGGCGAGGGCAGAGGCTGCCCTCGCACGGGACCGCGGGCGATCTTGTAGAAGCCCCGCGACAGCACTTCACACTGCCGCTGGTCTCACTGCATGACCTGCGCTCCAGCTATGAGAAATACTTCTCTTCGTTTGTATTTGAAAATAGATACACACTGCCAGGCATGGCGGCGCATGCCTGTAATCCCAGCACTTTGGAGGCTGGGGCGGGAGGAGCTGGGAGTTTAAGGCCAGCCTGGGCTACAAAGTGAGACTGTCTCCAAGAAAATTAAAAAAAAAAATAAAAGTAGATCCTTGTAATCAATGTAAAAGGACAAATAAGTTGAAAGCAAATCAGGAAACTCCTCGTTTTTCGGTCTTTCTCCCTCACTCAGTTAAGACTCCTCCCTTCTTATCTGTCTGGCCGTCTGGCTTTGGTCTGAGCCGACAGCAGGGAGCAATTACCGAGTGTTTACTCTGCACACCAACCGCTTCGCACACCGCCGCCGCTAGACGCTTCCAGCAGTGTCGTCCAGCGGAGTTCACTGTCCTTCCAGCTGAGGTCAGCGTCTGGGTGACAGTCCACCCCTCACCTCTTGGCCACCGTGGGAGGACTGGGCCAGCCGTGACTCACACAGGTGAGCAGCTCGTGGTGAATAAATGCAGTGTGTCTGTCTCAGGGAAATTTTGTAGAATGCTCCCTCTGTTTTCAGGGTCTGTAAATAGGGCACACAGCCCATTCGCAATGTATTTTCCTCTTGTGGGCGGTACGGTGGGGCCAGTTGGCCTGACCGTAATCCCTGGGTGTCCTGGCTGTGCAGCCTTAGCCAAAGTGGCCGACTTCTCCAGCCTCTTTTTCCTTGTCTGCAAGACAGGGATCATCCTGGTAACTCGTCTCTGGGATGATGAAAAAATTAAATCTGTGAGGTGCACGTAAGAATGGCCGCCTCTCAGGACCTGTCCTCCACAGGTGCGAGTGACTGGCATTTCCCTGTGGTTCTTCGGAAGCTTGCAGGGGTCTGCTTGTCTCTTCCTCTAACTGAGGTGGGAAAGTAGTCAACGGATCACTTTCTGCTCCTGGTTCAAGCTCCTGCTTGCCATTAACAGGAGGGAATCAGGCACTCTCTCTCAGGAACTAATTTCTAGTTTTTCTGTGTCCCTAACTCTTCTCTCATGTCCGGGCCCTTGGATGGCTGTTACATTGTTCAAGCCAAGACCTGGGGGAGGCACTGGGGATATCTCCACGTCTGGCTGAGCGATCACTTGGGTTATTAGCTTCTGTAAGTGACATTTAACAACCAGAGTGAGAGCAGCCTGCTGAACCCTGGGGCAGTGGTGGCCAGCCACAGCGGGTTTATATCTTTGAAAGCTCTAAAAGATTCACTATCACTGCCCTGGGGGAAGCTGCCTCCGCTGGGTGTCATGTGTCACCTGGCTCTGCCTAAGGGAAGGGGAAGTTGGCAGTGGAGATCATATCGCCAGCTTCTGCTGGACCGTTGTCTGCGCCCCAGGGCAAGGGAACAGGCGTGGAGATGGTCAGGAGGTGGTGATGCCCCCCTTGGGGGCGGACTGTCCTCAGAGGTGCCATGAGGCACAGAGGAGCCATGGGACGGATGGGAGTGAGGGGAGGGGAGCAGTGGGCCTGCCCAGCTCTGTGGACTGAGCAAGGGATGAAAGTCTTCTGTCCTGATTTGGGGGGACACTGGACAGAGCCCCCTTACAGTGTGTCAGGTGGGAGGCAGGCACTGCTTGGGCTGACCCAGGGGCAGCACTGGGGGCAGCCGTGGCCCGGGCAGGCTGGGTTGGGGTGAAGGCGGCACGGCCGGCTATTAGTGGCACAGCCCCGGGCGCTGGGCACGGGCCAGGACTGCAGGAGACGGCCTTGGCGGGGGCGAAGGCGCGGGGCAGGCTGGCCGTTTGTCTTGTGAATTAGCTTCACAGCATCTTAAACCTGCTGAAGACAGCACGGACTGCTGGCAGAGCTCGTAAGCTCATGTCAGTCCCATTCAATAGAAGACGCGGGCCCTCCTGCCCTCGGGAAACTGGCTCAAGTCTCTGCAGGCCTAAAAATAGCAAGTTCACAGACCTGCAGATTCTTTCCTGGTGACACTGGCCCGCACCGCCGGCTGCCCGAGAGGCAAACAGAGCAGGCTGGGCATGGTCGTCCCTGGCCAGGAAGCTCCATAGGCGTTGTGCTGCCAGATGCAGGTCCACCAGGGCTGTTGGGGGCAGCCAGCCCCTTCCTTCCTCATCTGTCCTTCCTTCTCTCTGAACGTCCGTCATTGCACACACAGTGGCTCGAGCCACCCATCCACAGTGACGGCCACAAGCCAAGTGGCCGGCGGGACGGCACAGGGTGCAGACACTCTGAACACTCCCTTTGAAGAGGCGTGAGTGACCGCCAGGCTCCGTCTGTGAGGGCCTGACTCATGATGAAGTCGGCTCAGGATACTGTCGCAGCTCACTGCCCACTGGGAAATGCCCACAGTAAAGCAGAGTACTGGACCGGCTACTGCCAACCCTCAAGTCCCTGGAGTTGGAGTAGCACAGGGGCAGCTCCAGGGGCACATGGCGGTGAAGAGAACCAGCTAAGACAGGGTACACCTACCAAGCTGGCTTCACTCTGAGACCTCCCAGCAGCCCACCCCCACCTGCTCTTCCACCAAAGTGCAGTAGCTTTTAACTGCAGAGGTGGGTGCTAATGTGAGTCAGTGCGAGGTCCTCCTCTTTCCATGAACTGGGTCTTTTGCACTCTAATTTGAGTGCTTGCTTCCAAGGCTTTGCTGGCTACTAAGAGGCCCCCATCTGGTAACAGAAAAGAGTGAACTTTAGCGGCAAGAGGCTCCCGGACATGGGGACACTGTGGGGGCAGTTTGAGGACACTGCTCTGGATCCGGGCTCTGGCTGACAGTATACTCCAAGGTCTGGTTTTCTAGGGAAGCAAGCTCTCCTCTCAAAGCAGATTGAAGGAGACCTGTCACTTGTGGGCTCCCCTGGATTCTCTCTCTCTTTTTTTTTTTTTTTTTTTTTTTTTTTTTCTGGTACCGGGAATCGAACTCACGACCTTGCACTTGCCAGGCAGGCGCTGTGCCACTGAGCTAAATCCCAGCCCCCTGGATTCTTTGCAGGCACCTGAAGGAAGACACTGTCTTCAGGCGTGCACATCACAGCAGGTCACAAGAGCCTTTCCAGAGAAGGGAGTGTGGTCACCATGATCCAAGTCACGCCGTGTTCAGACTGCACTATGTTGCTTAAACATCACAAATATAAATCTCTTCAGAAGTTGCAGACCTCAGCTCTTGTCCCTGGCACTGCTCCTCAGCTTGACCTTCCTTCGGGACCCCTGCTGAGAAGCAGCCTGCATCAGTCACAGGGCAGAAAAGGGAGACACCACGACCGCTGTGGCTCTGTGCGTCCCAGCCCCGACCCAGTCCACACACGGTGGGTCTGAGGCACAGCGCCTGAGCCGACACATAGAGTGCCGATTCTTGCCTCCAGCTGGCTAACTTCGGAAACCGCCACTAACAAGCCCCTTGCTTTTCACTGCAATGGAACTATTTGTATCAGCTTATGCTTGTGACACAGAACGATGTGTGCGTCAGGGGATACGGACGCATACACACATCGCATCTTCATCTTCTTAGCCCGCCCTGCCTCCCTCCTCCCTCCTAGCTTCCCCCACCCGCAGATCCCGTTCCCGTCTCCACGAGGTCCTCCTGCTCCCTGTCAGCCTCTCACCGTAAAAGTGTGTAGGAAGCGTGGGTGTTCCGACTGTAAAATGCCTGGAAACAAGAGAGAAGTCAAAATGTCAGCATGTTGCTTTGTCTGCGATCGACACTCTTGATTCCTGGATGAACTCATGCACTCCTGTATGTCTTATTCACTCCACAAGTCTACACGGCATTTTTTTCATGTGGCGTGTGCAAAACACCCAGTAACGGAGGGCGAGGAGCTATCCCTGCGGAAGTTCCCATCAGAGGGTCAGCAGGAGGACGCGGGGTCAGACACACGTGGGGGTCCCCAGCACCGTCTCTGTCCCTGTGAACGTGTGCCAAGGCAAATCCTTCGATACTGTGATAAATTTCAGCATTGCCCACAGCGTGTGCAATGAACAGAATGTGAGCTCGTCCTCAGAACCTGGTGGAACTTGGTGTTCTCCGTCAACTGCCCTGTGGCAAGAGTTTCTAAAGAAAAGAAATAGCAAGCTGGGCATGGTGGTGCACACCTGTAATCCAAGCACTCAGAAGGCTGAGGCAGGAGGATTGCTTCAAGTTCCAGGCCATCCTGGCTTCATAGTGAGTTTAAGGCCAGCTTGGAGTGCACAGCAAGAGCCTGCCTCAAAAAATAAAAATCAAAGAATAGAAATAGCAGAAAGGTATACAGAATAGGTATAGCAGAAATAGCAGAAATACCATCCTCCTGTACGTGGTAGGAATGGATTTTCTTTCAGGGTGTGGTGTGTTTCTGCAGCCTCGTCCGCACCATGGTGGTCCAGTATCTGACAAGGGCCCAAGTGTCCCTTGCGGGATACTTGTCAAAATCCCACCCTCTCCTCTTCTGCCTCCTGCTCTGGGTCCCGGATTTGCCTCCCCCTCTCTGGCACGCTACCATGGTAACTTGGAACCCCTTCACCCTGGGGGCTGCATCCTGCTGCCATGTTACAGGCCTGAACACTGCCCCCCTGCCTAGCAAAGCTGTCCCCAAGCTGCTCACTGCCTCCGCCGGGATCTGGCTCATCCACCTCTGGGAAACCCTCTTCTTTCTTCTTTGTGCCTGGCCCTTTGACACACTGGCAGGATGTTGTGGGTTCAGGACTTAGATTTGCACATTCGCTTGCTGTACCCGGGCACAGAAACCATGCCAACCCTGTCCACTCTTTATGTTCAAGCTCAGCAGAAACCTGGTGTCCAATGCTCAGTCACTGGCCACATAAAAGAACTGGTGTTCAAGATCTTCCCTGGCGGGACCTCCAGCTCCAGACCAGCCTCATGTTAGCTACTCACCCGCTTGCTGGAGTCTGAAATCTGAGGGGCTTGATCAGTTGCAGCTACTGCCATCATGCCAGCCACAGGCTTTTGTGACAATTAAACTAGACTGGCTACTTGATGGGCAAACGGGTAGCAAAGTACCCTTCTGGGTGTGCCTTGGTGGGTAACAGAGCGTGGCCCTGGGGTTTAGATCCAGTGCTGCCCTCTTCCTCTCTGGCACCGTCCCCTGCTCTGCTTCCTGGTCCCCATGAACTGAGCGGCTTTGCGTCACACCGTTCCACCATGATGTTTCTGCATTGGAGTCAGCTGACCATGGACTGAGCCCCCTGAATCCATGAGCTGAATAAACACCTCCTGCTTTAAGTTGTGCCTGTTGAGTAACTGGTCCCAGAGACAGGAAAGCTGACTGACATTCTCTTTTCCCTGCCCTGTGGCTCAGGTACCCCATTCTCGATACCTCACTGAACACATCTGCCTCTGCTGTGCATCACTGGTGTCTTGGTTACTTTTCTCTCCTTGCTGAGACAAAACACCCAACACTCAGAATTAGGGAAGGAAAGGCTTATTAAGCTCACAGTGTGTGGAGATTTCAGTCTGTAATCAGCTGGCTCCAAGGCAGGGGGCAGGGCACAGGGGCAACACTTCAAGGC